AGAGAAAAACTTAAGAAACAATCAATTCTTAAAATTCCCTTTCGTGTCAGCAGGAAATTAAAAATTAACAAACCTAAACACTAGGCCTAAGTTCACGTTTCTCATTTATTTCAAACACGTTTTTCCCAACTTGAAACTCAAAACAGGCAGAGAGTCTGCTAAACTCTTTTCCGTCTTTCAGACTGCAAAATGAAAATTTAGGTTCCACATCTGAAAGAAGAGATGATGAGATGCAGACATAAAGAGATGATATTACGTGTACGGATCACAGAAAACAGCTGAATCAAACCAATTGAAATGTAAGCGAATGAAAATAAAACTCCATTTGCCAAAAACGTTAGCCAGGCCCATAAGCCAATAAGCACCGTCACGATTATGCTCATGTGCACCTTTGGGGCTTACCTCAGATCACAAGTCAAAATGTTCTCAACTGTGAAGGCCTGGTCATAACCTGAAATCTAAGCACCAGGAACACAGTGAGAAAATGGCAAAAGCAGTACCAATGCTCTCCTCCATCCCCATGTTCATCATTCCTGAATAATTATATTTATTTCTAAAATGCAAAGACAAAAGACAAGGCAACCAGTAAGTTAACAATTATGAATTGGTTTCTATTTTAACAGCTACCAATGCCATTCGGCTTTATTTCACAGAAACCCTAAGAGTTTATTTAGCATATAATGCATTATGCAAAAGAATCTTCTCTGTGCAAAAGAGTCACACAGATTTCCTTTAATTAATAACCCCTCACTTAATTTTTTAATAGAATATGATTTATAAAATCTCAATTTATTAAAACCTTCAGTAACTCTGGTATGGCATAAAGAGATATGTGTCTGCTTTCTCCCAACAATGAGGCAAATTTGCCATTAAAATTTTTCCCCCAAAGGTCACCTTGAACTACAAAAAAGAAAAAAAAAAGAAAAGAAAAAATAAGCCCATCTAATAGTCATTATCTTTGCGAATGTACCTAAACTACAAGCAAATAAATCAGCCATGTTACCAAGCACAAAGCTATTGAAGATTGTTAAGATTTATTTTCAGGTGCCAGTGAGACTAAACAAAGATTGTAAGGAATGAAACAACAGAAGAAACTCAGGGAACAAATTAATACATTGAAACATTATCTTACCAGCAGCATTCCCTATAGAACAAAGTGATGAAACTATCAAAAAGCACTCCTCAAAGCAACAACATTTTCGTATGTCAAAAAAAAAAGAGAATTAACCTAGAATAAATATATAAATAACAGTATGCTCTGTGTTAAGCCAGTAACAAAGAAACCCCTTAGTGCAGTAAAACAAAGTCTTGTCAAATCCCCATTTTTTACAAAGAAGCATGAAGATCCTTTCACAATGGTTTAAACTGTATTTATAGTAACAGAGTGAAGACTTGAGATAAAAGTCAAAAGGATTAAAGTCAAAGCCCCAGCTCGACATGAGTTATGGTTTTGATTTTTATTCTTATTGTGGTCTACAAATATTAAGACAGAAGATACTTCCATGTGATTGTGGGATCCTCTGAGACTCTATAACCTTAGAAGAGCAGATAAAACGAATGAAAATGCATCTGGTTTAGGAGCAGCCTCCATATTAAATGGCAATGCGCAAAGTAACCACAACTGCAGAAGGCTGAGGGGGAGTGGGGGAGGCTGAAGGCTGAAATTTCTGCAATTGATGCAGGGCAGGAAAAACAAAATTAAGGGAAGAAAGAAAAGAGAAAGAAATAAAAGATGTGGTATTACTGTTTTAAAATGGCAGCCTGTTAATAATCATGACACTCCTGAAAATACAGAAAAATTATACTACCACTCCTTCTTTCCTAAGCGAAGCAAGCTCACCACATACAAACGTTACATACTTCTACAAGAAAATTGGTAGGGCTTGATAGCTGCATCTCTATCTAAAGCAAAATCCCTGGAGTTGCCACTTAGAGTTTGCAGATTTACAAACCATATACTTTTCTCACAAAGAAAGAAAACAAAAATTCTGCAGTCGACTGGAAGTTCTTACTCTACAGAGAACCGTTCTTCTTCCACATATTTTTTTTTTTCTTAAAAGTGAATGCAAAGCTACATTTAAACATAAGCTTTTGGTCACAGTTCAAAAAATGTATTTTGCATTTCCTCTCCCCTGATACCCTCTCTTTCAAGATAATCTCTCTCACACACACACTCCAGTAGGAGATATATATTATATACTGTATGATTGGAAGGTTATTCTTAATATTAATTTGGATACTCTCTCCTTTCAGTTCATATATTGCAAGAACCATATGCATATTTTCCGTTCAACCACAGTCTTTACTTTTAAAATCAGACACCTGGTTTAACGCTTGATATCTCGAGAAAAAGCTAAAAGTCCTTAATAACAAAAACCACAGCAAAATCAGCAGGGGCAGTGTAAAATATGTAAAGATAGTATTTTTATATCACAGAAATACCCCCCAAGGCATTACTTTTTAATTGAGTATAAATTAATACTATGATTAGAAGAGTAAAAACAGTTTTCATGCAAGTTTTAAGAGAGTTTAAGTCTATATGTATTCAGATAATCATAAAGCAAATATTAAAAAGTCACAATTGCACAAATGGATTCTTTTCTCTTTTATTCACAAAGTAAGCTAAGAATTATCGTAAGTCACCATTACAAATCACAAATTTCTGAGAAAGATATTTCCAGTATAATTACTTGCTATTTCATTCAATGTTTTATTTCAATTGTCACATTTTGAATACATACACATTTGTGCAACTACCAGGGGAAAAATAACTTGAACCAAATTGAAAAATTACCATAACTACTAGTTCAATATGTCTAGTTAAAATAGAGACATCTGGTCTATCATTAATTCTTTTGTGTTGATGACTCCTAGTGTGTCTTTTCCCATCAATGAACTTTGCAAGAGGAAAAGGCAACTTTTAACAAAAAGCTGACTCAGAAATGCATCTCAAGATTTATCAATATAGATCTATTATGATTAGATCAAATAAAGCACAGTACTTTCAGGAACAATAACAAATGCTGTTGAATACAAATAGCTTTAAATTCCATCAGAATAATGTTATTTATTAAATAATTCTCTGCAAGCAGATATAGGTAATTCATGAATCATTATTTTAAAATATTTATAAGTCAACTCTTTCACTTGTTTAAAACACATACACTGAAGCTCTATAATAATACTTGATTGCCACTTCATGGAAACTGAATAATGCATTTTCAGAAGCCGTGCACACCCCCACACAATTCTGAATTAATGGCTGAGTAAACAATAAGTAATGTACTATGCTCTAGCAAAAATTCAGTGATAACATCAATCTGGCATCTACTTAACACATACTGCTTACTTTTCACATATTCCTCAGATAAGTTTCCTTTCCCAGATGCAGTTCATTAGAGAATGACTATCACCTGCCCATTCATCCACAGACAGTGAGTGATTTAGTAATTAACACAATCACAGATAAGGGTAGAAATCATAATATACACTACTACAAATTAAGAGATGAGGAAAAGGGGCCTAGCCACTTCAGCTTCCAATAACTAGATTGCAATTAAATAGGACTTTTGTCACTTCTTCCTAGGGTAATAGGGTCAATTATTTAAAACCCCTTGCTCCAATCCAGAGACCTACCAGTAAGGCCCTTCAACCAAACTCAGATAATTACTTTTGACAAATGTTCTCCTTGAGCATGATGTAGTTACTCAAAAGCTTTAAAAAACAAAACAAAACACAACACAACACAACCCACAGTCACAGTAAAACGATCTTTACAAAGTCAACCCAATAACATGTTCTGTGGTCTCCCCCCCCCCCCGCCACCCCCCATATTGCATGCAGTCGGCCGTCTTTCGGCCAATTTATAAAAGATAGTAAGTTGCTAAGTAAATATTTAATTTATGCAGCCGAAACCCTGAAAGGCTGAGCTTCAAATGCGATGCCTTGCATTCCCGTGAGGCACACGGTACAGAAATATCCTTTTTAAAAAATCCGTTTACAGCTGTCCTTTAAAAGAAGAAAAAGGAGAGAGAGGGAGGGAGAGAGAGAGAGGGAGGGAGAGAAGGAGAGAAAAGAAACCCACACATACACATGCATCAAACCAAAGACGCCGACGCCCCTCTGCCAACCAGCATTTCTATAGAGACATTCTTTCGATGATTAAAATGTAAGCTCCAAAAGGTTAAAGAAAAGCAGCCAAGTAACACCGCCCAGGAAGCCAGCATTAAAACACACCTAGCTGTACACTCTTAACAACCTCTCGCTACAAATGACACTGACCCAACTTCACCAAACACACACACACACGCCCCGACACACACACTCACAAATTGCACACACGTGCACAGAATGTACACACAAACATCGAGCAGAACACAATACCTACAAAACACAAACGAACTTGATCCACACAAAACATGCACGTATCAGTGTGCATACATAATGCACACGACACGGCACACAGACACGCACGACCTAGTCCCCATGCACACGCCCCAGAAGTCCGTGTCGGACACACACCGTGCATGCACGTGTAAAATGTATGAACTCACAAACGCCGAACATACACACAGACCGTGCACAGAGAGTTATTGATGAAATTCCGGGAGGTGGAGGGGCCGGGAGGGAGTGGTAATTGCCACACAAAGGTCTCCGGAGCGGCAGAGAGGGAAGTCGAGCGGGCCGAGCGCTCGGAAATTCACCCGAGGCGAAGGCGCAGCCGAGCCCCGCGAGCGAAGTACCGGGAGAAGTGTCCCGGGCGGTCCCGGGCGCCGCGGGCGCGGGGCTCCCCGAGATAATCGCTGCGCCCCTCCGCGCGCGCACGCACACACACAGGGGCCCCTGGGCGAGCCCACTCCCGCAGAATAACAAAGAGCAGGAGGCCGGCGAGCGCGCGGCGGCTCGGGCTGGAAGTGGCCGTCTCCGCCGCCGCGGGCCGGCACGGGGCGAGCGGCGGGGCCGGCGGGACGCGCGGGCAGCGGGCGGGGGGCGGTACGTACCAGGCGGGCAGCCTCGGCCCAGGTGCGGTCCTTCTTCTTCCTCTTGTCTTTCATGTTTGCATCTCATTGATGGTTCTGATGATGACGTGGGGGATTCCACGGGGTGCTCGGGGTTCGGGCGCGGAGACAATGACCCAGTGACCCGGTGACCCGCACTCGCTCCGCGGGGGGAGGCGCGCGGGCGGCGGCGGCGGCGGCGGCGGCGGCGGGTGGGAGGGATGGAGCGAGGGGGTGGGGTGGGGTGGGTGGGGGCGCGCGGGCGGCGGCGGCGGCGGCGCGCGGCGGGCGGGCCGGGGGCGGGGGCTGGGGCGGCGGCGGCGGCGGGGCTGGGGACGGGGGCGGGGGCGGCGCCGGCCGGGCTCGCTCGTGCGGGGCTCGCGCTGCGCCGCCGCCGCGGCCGCCGCGGTGACAGCTCCGGGGATGCTCCGCTCGGCCCCGCTCACAACAATACACTCTGACGTCACGGGGAATGGCGACGCGGCCGCACACTCGCCGCGCTCACACTCGCCGCGCTCACACTCGCCCTCTCGCGCGCGCACACCCGCGCACACTCGCCGCGCGCCCCCCACTCCAGCCACTCCCTGAAACCCTCGCGAGACCCCTCTCCCTCCAGCCCAGCCCCCCCAGATCCACGGGGCGCTGCCGGCTGGCTGCAGGCCGTGCACCCCCGGCCCGCTGGGCGGAAAACTGGGGACACGGTAGCCTTTGGAACTTGTGTAGGAGTCCGCTTCGCAACTCGAGGCTTCTGTCCTGTGAGCTCACACTCACACACACACTGTCTCTCTCTTTCTCTCTCTCTCTCTCTCTCTCTCTCTCTCTCTCTCTCTCTCTCTCTCTCACACACACACACACACACACACACTCCGCACTACTTCCCTCTGCTGGACTCTCCAACCCTTTTCTGCTTTTGGCTGGGTGGATTCCCAGAGCCTTGCTGAAAGGGTACAAAACAAGCCTCTGAACAGAACTAATGTTGGACGTGCAACTTGACTCAACATTAGCCATCTACATCATCTTAAACAATGCGAGACCAACGAGATGTGGCCGTGGATCAGTGCCATGCTGTGCCTTAGCACCAATTATTTTTAAATATCGTACGGTCATCATTCCATAGCGTAAAACGTGATGCATATGTAAACAACTGCACAGCTAACGCTTGCGTATTTTTTAAATTACTTATAATTGCCGGGTTGGAGACGCATGAAGAGTTGGACTGTTAACCTTGTTAGGGAGCTCCAAAATGTTATGTTAAGACTTGAAAGTTTATTATAACCTTTCCAACTTCTTAGACTGCTGGTAAATTGTTTAGGTCAAGAAAGTTATTGTTAAGCAAAGAAAAGAAGGAGTCCTATGACCTACACATTAATTTTGTGTGTATTTATCTTAAGTACCTAAAAAACAAAGAGGGCACTCATACTGGATTATTTATGTAAGGTTATTTCCTAAATGTGATAATAATAGTATGTAAATAGTACTTGAAGTTTTTTCACATACATTATCTCATTTGACTCTTTCAAAACAAGGCGCTCAAGCATATTTTTTTATATCTACTGAACAAATGAGGAAATGAAACTTAAAAACACATAGTACATGAGATCTCTTGCTCAGTTTTAAGAACCGAACACAATCTTTTGACCCTACTCCCTGTTGTTTCTATTGTTCTAAACTGCAATACTTAAAAATAAATACTCCTAACTAGAAATGAACATCTACTGAAAAGGCATATGCCTAAGAATGAGAATGATACTAGTAAGGTGATTCCTTTGGGTATAGTGTCAAATGACTGAAGTAATAGAAATGTTCAATTACTAAAAATTAAGCAGAGGCAGTTTACAATCATAAAGAGCTGATTATGTTAATCTCTTAAAATATTTACTTTGTTAATTCATTATAATAAGAAAAAGTTATGCATCCTTTGAAGTAAACATCTTAAAATTATCTCCAGTTCCTACTTTCTTATTTTTTTAAGTGGATTTAGAGAACACACTGAAATTATCCCTAGGGAAAAAATTTACCCACACAATTTGCATAACTCTATCCAGGTGTATTATATTTTTGCTTTACATTTCAAATATATTAAATTTGAATCACGTTCACATCTGCTTTTATTTTCAACAATTCTCTTTATAACTAAAGCAATTGATATATTTCAAAGTACTCTCATTCTAATGTTTTCTCTTCTATTCAGAAATACCTATTTTAAGCAATCAGACCATAACATATAATTTGTTATTTTCTGTGAAATTGTGCTTAATAAGAAGTTTTAGAGCCAGCTAAAGGAAAACATACTTCTTCACTTGCTTTGCTGTAACTTATTATTCTTTAATAAACAATTCTGGTTATTACAGAGGAGGACATATGTATCATCCCACCTAAGCAATGTTACTTGATTATACATTTTAAAAAAACACCCTAAAACTAAATGCTGTTATTCATGCACTCGTTCTTTGACAGTGAGCCAAGTATAAATAATCAATATTCTGAAGACTCTTAGATTCTATCTCTACTTTTGGATACTTGAGTATAAATAGTCTGTAGTAGGTATGTCTACTTAAAGACTTGTGTTCTATGCCAAAATAATATATTTTACAGAGCACGAGAATAGAGGTGGGCTACCACTGCCGAGAAGTTGCTGTTTTTATATTCTTTTCTTCTACATTTACATATGCACATCAAGCCATACTTTACCTTATGACAATCTCCCAATAAATGTAGTGGAAGGAAGTAGCATATGAATCAATTACAGTTCTTTTATAGTTTAGTAAATTATATGAGTATCTTTTTTAACAGGTAGAAAATAATGAATGCCACAAATGTACAAGTAAAATTACATGCAAATTAAGAAAAATAACTCTCTACTGTGGAGATTAAAGAAGGCTTTCAGAAAGAGATGTCCTTTAGAATGGAATTTGAAAGATGGAAAGGATTTGAACATTCAGATTTGTAGGCCAGGAGAGAAGCTTTTCCAAATAAAGTGCAGTAAAAGCCAGGACAATTTAGAACTAGAAAAATGCTCAGATGGATAGATGACATCTACCAAGTGCTGCTGGCATTCATTTCAATTTCATATAAGATAACTTGTATTTCAAGAACCCTTCCTTAAAATGAAGAGGAATAACTCAAAGAGCAGAGGTTCCAGTGAGAACTGCCCTATAAATTCTTCCTTTTCTGAGCTCTCCATCCAATTAGATAGAATAGGAATAGCTCCAAAGTTCATTTGCCATGTAACAGCTCCTTCTCTGCATTACCCTGCTTTCTTTATCCCCGTTCCTACTTTTAGGGTCAAATTCGACAATTCAAACTCCCCTTGTACATGTCTACCTTCATCAATCCCAGCAGACCTTTCCATCTCCAGGAATGTTATTTTGTTTTATATTATGAGATGTGTGACAATTGACAAACACTCAATAGTAACCAAACCCAGAGTAATAAATATCAATTTATATAAGACAAAATAGAGGTGCTGGTGTGCTCAACAAGGGTTAACATTCATATGAGACTCCAATGGTCAGAGAAGAGAGATCTAAGAATTTGGGGGTAGAAGTGTCATGACTGGTCTCTCAGGAAATACAAGGTTTTACCATGAATCCTCATCAAAGTGTTAACCAAATATGGGAGAGTTTAGGTGTGTTGCAGTCAGGAATAAGAGACAGGAATTGCCTTCATTTCCACCCCATATGCCCATCGCATGTGGAAGTCTAGAATTAATGGAAATTTCTTCCACCCTTCCCCACACACATGGCAGCCAGCAGCACAATACAGAGCAGAAGGTGGGGTGGGAAAGTAATAATAAAAGTTGAGAGGAGAGAATGGAGGCAAAGGTTGCCAGGGGGATGGAAGAGGTCTTCAGTGGTCTTGATGACCATGTAAGTTTTATTTCTTATGTATAAGCTGAGAATCTCTGAATTCTTCAAATAAGAATATTTAATAAACTTATTTTCCCTAAACAGCTTTTGTTAATGATCAACTAGTATCTTACTTGTCTGGAAAGGCCATGAAGTTGGACGCCTTGCCTACTTTGTCTACTACCCAATTCACTGAATTTCCAGCATGAAACAAATTATTTGTCATAACCTGGCCCACAATACATATTTACTGAATAAAAAATAAATGATTGGAAATTTAGTAAATTGATCCCTTTTATTGTAAATCCAAGTCCAGTCAACCAAGATCTATTTCTTTTCCTTATAATAGCAAAATGTTTTTTTCTGTCCCTCTCCTATATTTCACTGAGCAGTTCAGGAGTAATACACAGTGAGGTGCAATAAAGCCAAATATCAGCATTATTAATTATGTATAGTCAGATATTACCGAGTGGAGCTCCTAAGGGCTAATGAATTATGACCTTGTTTCTCTTATTCTAATCCTGCATATGCAATGTAATGCAGTTTTCAAGTCTCTCAATATATTCATTTAAAGACAGTTTATACTATGAATATAAACATTAGCTGCACTCCAGGAACATACAGAAGTGTTTTAACACTATTATCTGAGACTAATTTGATCAAAGCTCATGACAATTCTTCCTCTAGGAAATGAGTGGATTAACTGTGATTATTTTGTTTTTTTACTCAAAATCTACAATACTTCAATATGCTGAGATTTTAGTGCACTGTAATTATATACATGTTGCTAAAAAGAATAAAAAACCACTTGTGAATTTTCTTTAAAACTTTTCTGTAGCTGATTTTATTTGCATTCTCAATGCATATAATTTTCTTTTTTAGTTGATTAGAACTGTTTTGACACCCATTTTAAATTCTCTGGTCAATTTGCATTATTATTACATTTCAACTGATTAAAAATAAACAGTTTCATGTTATACATGGAGTTAAGCATTCTTAAATGTGAGGAGAAGCAGAATAAAGTGGCCCAAATATTTTCATAGTTTTCTTCTTTTTCACTTAAATTGCTCTTTTCTTCCTGCTTTATCTACTTCCTTTGTGAAATCACACACTCTGCTTCTGAGTAGAGCCCTTCATTCAAGAATTTACCTTTTCCCCCTTTAAACCCTTAATTAGGCATAGAGAACACAGTCTGATTTATGGCCTAGT